AGAAAATAATTTATTGATATGAGTAAACGGAAGATTATAAGACTTAACAGACCCTCTCCTCATGGGCTTAATTTGTCTAATTCAAAAACAGTTTAATAGAAAATTTTGATCAGAAATCTTCCTATTTTGGCAAACTAAGATGCAGAAATTTTTCAAAGTGGTTTTTGATAATGAAAATACTAGTTAATTAGCATTAGTGAATATACCCACTAATGGCTAACAACAAAAATTTGGTGCAGTTGAAAAATACATCAGAATTTAAAGGAGTCTTATGACATTTACCCATTTTAATTCAACTTTTCACTAATTTTGAAGCACTGCATTGATACTTCATACTACAGTATTTAAATACTGTATTTTTCACTAACTGGTTATGAGATTTAGTGGACAAAACATCATATTAAATGGAGGTGAGGGCACTCAGGAATCAGTTTCTCTGATCTAGGAGCAATATATTTACACAACTTGTAGCATCTGGAAATCCTTTCCACTGGGTTGTTTGTGCTCCTGTGTAACATGACACTTGTAATCTCATCCTAATGTGGGGTGGGACTGTGAGCCCATGAAGATGATGTCTTATTCATACCTTTGTTGGCCAACTTGGCAGAGGTTCTGCATCTCAGTAGGGCTGGATTTGGAGCAGCTTTCTGGAGCTACCAGACCTGTGGCTGCTCTGAGGTGGAGGGGGTGCTGGCATGTGGGATTTGGCCAACCCCACCAGAGCTGTACCCTTCTCACCTGTATTATATATTGCAGTCTCCTCTATTATAATTTCGTTCACCTGTTTTTTTAAATGAATGTGGTTAATTTCTTGAACTAAACCCATGTGAATCCCATCCTTTTGAGAAAGTATTTAGGGAAGTATGCAAGAGCAAAGTCTGTTTTAAAATATTTCACAGAATGGATTGTGTTGGAAGGGCTTCTAAAGGTCATCTAGGTTTGGTAGACCTTCCCCTCCAGGCTGCTCAAAATCCCATCAACCTGGCCTTTTTTTACTACTAAGTTGAGAAAAAATACACTGTGTTTGGAACATGCTTCCCTTGCAAACTTGAAACACGAAAGAAGAGATGGGGAATTTTGTGCTGCATCTCTTGAGGGTTTGTCTGGTCATGTTTACAACTGGTGTGTCACACCAACACAGTGTTCACCCTCATCTTTCCTCTAATGGTCTCCTACTACTGTTCATGTTCCTGCTTGGCTTCATAGCGTGTTTTAGGACAGGGATTTCTTCTTAGAGACATGGAACATCTCTGGGCTCTTAGTTCTAAGGAGAGACTGCTGTAAGTAAAAATGGATGCAAATGTAGCTGGTTCTGCAAAACAGCACTTGTGTTTTGAAATTAAGTGGTGTTATGTGGTGTTCCAAACTCTTGCAATCACTTTGAATATTTGTGCAACTGGGATTTCCTAGCAAAGTGGAAGTGGAAAGGAATTTTTGAGCAGGAATATCAAATCACGAATACACCTTCAGCTGAAAAGAAAACAGCTTTTTTGGGAGGCTTTTATCATAACAATAATGGCCTTTACTGACATATGGCCAGAAGCCTTGGGTGCCACCAAAGGTATTATTAATCCATTGGAGCTATTGATGGTGGTACAGATCAAACCATCCCTTAAGATTTGAAGATCTGGGCATGAGTAGCACAGAGGAGTTGCACTGCTGCAGACTGCAGCAGATGTGACCCATTGTGGGGTGCCCTGTGTCATTGGAAATGCAAAGATGCACTGAAGCTCTCTCGGATTGTTCACTCCTCCGCATACTAAATGCTTCTCTAAAGTATTTCAGAATCAGAGCTATAAAGTAATTTGAATTCAGAAAGGAAGATAATAAAATAATAGATAGAAAAAAACTCTGTATAGTATAGACTGTTTGAAAGAGCATGAAAGTCTTTATCAAATACCTTTTACAGTAGAATTCATTTGTGTTACCACAGGGAGCAATTGTGATCCTCAAATCAAGACAGCAGAAAAATCTGAAAAGGTTTCTCCTCGTCCTCCTCAGATCCACATTATTTTGATACTAAATCTTGTCCCAGATTTATCATTGCTCCTCTTTGGTTTATTTGTCTTCTTGTCTCCCTGATCATTCCTGTTTATTCCTTCTCCCTTTTTTTCCCCACTGATTCCTCTTCAGCTGAGTCCAGACACCAAGGGAAAGTCCTATGTAGATGACCTGCAGAAAGACTGGGGAGAATTTTGTCCAGCATTAACTCTCATCATGCTCCTGGTCAGCTTCCCTGCTCGCTCTTGCACCTAGTGCTCAAAATGAGACTTTGTCATGAAAGTCTCGAAAGATTTGATAAATCTCAGTGTTTTTATTTGCGTTGAGTTTGTGGTTTTGATGTGATAGCTTCAGGGCAGCCAATGACAGCCTTGAATGTCTGACCTCTCAGTCTCAAAAATAAACTGTTACTTAGACATTTAAAAAGAAAGACTTGAAAAGAGCAAATCCAAAATTCAAGTTATAAATACAATGAAAATATGTTGATTCAAATCCTGCAAGCAGTTGACAATTTTCTGACCTTTATAGCCTATCCAGCTATTCATGGAGGCTACTGCCCAACAGTTAATTAATTAGGGATAGCAAACACTAAACTGAATTATATTCTTACCTTTTCAGCACCCTGTCTCAGGGTAAAACCTTATCCATGGTAGGCAAACCAGAACTGTAGATCACAGCAGAGCTGTTCAGCTGCAAAGACAAACCAGCAGATGGACAAGGTTAGAATTATAGTCCAGCTCTAGAACTGGCTTTGAATTTACATTGAATTTACCATTTGAGGTATCAAAATTGTATTACAAAGTTTCTTTAGAACTGAAAACAGGTGCTAAATTAATTATTAGTAGCATCTTGGTAATTTTGCACATCGAACAAACCCAGCACCTTGAAATGAAGAAGGATGTTTTTCCTTGCAAGAGCTATGCTGGATTTGTTGAACTCAGACCTTCCCAGACCATTCCCCAGACCATGTGAATTAGCTAATTCCCCAGACCCAGACCATGTGAATTAGCCAGAAGGCTACTGAGCTAAAGTTCCTGCTATTTACAAGTTTGAGTTTGACAAAGAAGAGAAGATGCATGGTTCCATTCCTGAGAGGAAAACAAACCCGTGTGGATTTTAAGATCTAGTGGAAAAGGCTGTGGAGGTTTTGAATACCACTAAGGAACAGGCTTCCATCTCTCCACGTGCATTGCTCAGAAACCTGTCTGCCTGCTCTGCCTTTACTATTTCTCAAGTAGTACCCTACTCCCTCCAAAAGCTGAAATTCTATAAAGCAATAATCCTCCATGAGGAGAATGCCTGCCATTCCATGTAAGTGTGTTAAAGTAAATGTAAACACACACATCAAGTTTGGGGAATTATTTTCTGTAGCTAAATTGGTGAGTTTCCAGCAAATACTGAGAATATTCAGCTGGAGGATGAAGGACATAAGCCTGTTTGTTAATGCAGTTTCACAGTGAAAGTGTTAGAATTAGCAGAGAAAGAAAGGGAAAGAGAAAATTGTGGAAAAGCTTCATCTATCTCCTTATTGCCTCCTGAGATAGATTGTTCAGAGCTAAAGGAACACTAGACATGAACCAAATCTCCTGCTGTCCTATATAGCTTTTACAATCTCCTTTTTAATAACCCAAACTACAGGGTAGTCTGACTATTAGACAAGCCGTTCTTTTGAATTCTCTCCACAATGTGTATAGACATGATAAAAAAACCAATTCTCATTAAAGCTGCCAATGCTGTTTCAAAAGCAGGTGGTTTAAAGTGTTTCCTATACAAAGCAAAACACATTTCTTGTGCATTACACACTGCTTAATAGGGAGTGTAAGATTACACTGCTATGTTGTGTATAACACTGCATCTTAAATAATAAGATATTGTAAGTCATGTTGGAAATATGTTTCACATGAATATGGAAGATATAATGATATGCACTGAGCAATTTTCAGAAGTGCTGGAACACTGCCTTGTGTGACAACCTCTGAGCTGAAGTAGTTGAAAATAGCATCTGGAATTTCAGATTATACAGTCTCTGATCCTAACTGATTATTTTTTCTAGAATATTGTTCAGTCAGCATGTGGATATGTGAAAGTTAAGACTTCTCCTGTCCTGTGGGAATGCTTATTGTTTGTGTTATAAATTAAGGATGGTAGGAATTGAGTGCTCTCAACATGCGTTTTCATTTTTCACTGAAGTCAGTCTTTTTTAAGGAATGCAGGATTGATCTGACATAAAAATTGTGATATACAGCTCTCTCCTTAAGCTGCTTGTTCATATCCTTTTCCAAACCAGTTCTGAAAAAAACCCCCAGCAACCTACAGAGGTCCAGTGGTGCTGGACCTCTGTGCAAATTCAGAGTTTGCCATTCATTTCAGCAGAAGCAGACTTTGGTCCTTCATTGATGTGAACATTTCAATCTATCTGTGAATTTCATCAGCAATCAGAAAACCACATAAAGCATGGTAATTCAGGTTATTGTGAATAGGCACAGTAATTCATGTTACATTTTAAAATGAACAAAAATATTTGTATATATTATAAACTGCTTTTAATGAAATAAAATTCATTTGGGTCTTCAGTGTGCCTATCTTAATTTTCCCATCTTCTGCTTTAAGAAATAATTACTTCCTTGCTGATAAATCAACTTCTGCAAACAAGGTGAAAATTGATTATGAGCTGATTAAGTTAAATAAAATATTAATGTAAACACTTACATAACATAGCTTGGCAGTGAATTTCATATTCTTGAAAAGGTGAATTTTAAAAATGTATTTTCTGTGAGTCCTGTTTCTTCTGAGAAGTCTCTGTAAATTCAACAAGTGACGTTACAGATAATCCAGTAGTAAGTGTTTCACCTGCCATTTCATGGACCCATAAACTACTGCAGTTTAACTTACATGACTCTAGCAAATATTAATGTATGTAAATAACGTGTTAAACACCTAGTTATCACTCTGCTCATATTAGCTCTTTCATACTAATGATTTATTTTCATTTTCTCCAGGATATAGACCTGCGGCTAACTGGATTTGATTTATAAGAGGGGATTCTGCAGTAAATGGCTGCTCTCTTCATATTGCTGCTATGGAAAACAGAATTGTCAATAGGATGTAGTCTGATAAATAGTGCTGAGTGAAGATGCAGCTTCAATAAGTGTGAAATCAATGGAAGATACTTACCGCATGAAAAGCCTTTTGAGATTTTTCTGACAGGCACCTATTTAGGAAACTTGATCTGTTTCCTCCGGTCGCCCTGTTTTTACACCAGTGGATACAAATCAGATTGCTTCACTCTAGTTACACAACTAATGTGGGACCATGGCCTTTCCAAGATCCATGTGGCTGAACTGTGTATGGAGAGCGACGGTGGTCCGCCTGCTACACACGGGATTGAATGCCACTTTTGCTTTTTCTATTCTTGGATTTTTGCTTCACGCTGCAGCTGTGTCCTCCCAAAAATTGGATGATACCAACCCAGTGGTGACCACCAACTTTGGCAAGATAAGAGGGATTAAGAAGGAACTTAATAATGAAATTTTGGGGCCTGTTATTCAGTTCCTTGGGGTTCCATACGCTGCCCCTCCAACAGGGGAGCGCCGCTTTCAACCTCCTGAGCCTCCGTCTCCATGGGCAGACGTCAAAAACACCACCCAGTTTGCTCCAGTGTGTCCCCAGAACATTATAGAAGGCAGGTTGCCTGAAGTCATGCTTCCCGTGTGGTTTACTAATAACTTGGATGTAGTTTCAACCTATGTACAAGATCAGAACGAAGACTGCCTCTATTTAAATATCTATGTCCCAACTGAGGATGGTGAGTTAATAGCAGGCGAAACAGGGAGATCTTTTTATTTTCCTGTTCTACTCTCTAACAATATTAATTCACGTGTACTGGTAGCGTGCATGGCTTTCTCTGTTTGCATGCCAGCTTATTACATGTGTGCATGCTGCTTTTCTCTGTGTGCATTTGTCCTTGCTTTTTTGATTTATTTTTTTTTTTATTTCTTTCTTTCTGTCTACACTCATTTTTTTTTTCTCCCACAGCACGTGTAATTTTTAGGTCAAAGTTGGTGCCTAATTCTCATTGCCACCCACTGACCTCTGGGAAGATGCATCAACATCTTTTCCATTGCATGTGCAGGCACAAGTTGAGAATCTTCCGCACCTAATAAAGCAGGTCATATTTAAGTTAGATAGTGGTGTTGCATGCTCCTACTGTCTGTGACGGAGCTCCATGTTATTTTCTAGTCTTCTATTCATTTTTCAGTCAAAAGAATATCCAAGGAATGTGCCAGAAAACCCGGCAAGAAAATTTGTAGAAAAGGAGGTATGTATAAAGTGGACAAAAAACCAAACCAAACAAACAAACCGGGGGAGAGATCGAAATCTTGGAAAAGGAGAAGGAATAATACAGGTGAAAGAGGTTGATTGCTAGTGCTGTGAATTGTTAGGGACTGTCTTGTCCTGGTGGAGAGGTGTTTAAAGAGAGGTCTGTGTCTAACAGATGAGAAGATAACTTTGGTAAAGCCGGGACTCAGTTGCACCTGAGCATCTCTGCCTGGCACTCTCTCCAGTGACAGTGCTGGCAGCTTCTCTCTTGGCCTCAAGCTCTGGGCAGTGTCTGTCGGGGGCACCAGGGGATGGGATGGCGTGTGTGGATACAGAGGAGAGAGCTCTGTGCCCTGGGTTGGGCACTGCTGCCACTGGAGGGGCTGGCACAGCCCACAGCTCTCCCTTCCAGAACCATGGCATAATGGCTGGGAAGCAATTCAGCAATGCAGGGCTGAGACCTGCGCTGGCTTTCTCCAGGAAATTCCCTGTTTTCTTGGAACAGGGTTAACTTTTCTGAAGCGTAGATGTGAAACAGTTTTTTTTTCGTTTACGCGCTTCTAAAAGTGAGCTTTGATTTCCTTTATTCTGTGATTACAGCTCTCTTTGTCAAAGCCCAAAAACTCTTAATAGGGGTGTAAGAAACTGTTAAAATATTGTGACATGGTACTTTGGGAGCTAGACTGCTTTTGGAAGCTTTGGAAACTTGGCTTCTCCCCTTTCTGTGTTAAATACTATGGAAGAGTTTGCAGATTTCTTTGTGAATATTTGCAAATTCCTCAAGCAGTTGACATGCAACAGAGAAGGTCTATTTTGGTACTGATTCAAAGGAGGCATTTGGTGCTAGCTTTGAGGTACTAATTTTGTACTATGCACGTTTGTTTTGCATCAAATGATTTTCCTTTATTGTTTTCTTTAAAGTAATGTGTTACCTTAGAGCTGGACTACATGTGAATTAGAATGCTTTTTGGGATAAGCAGAGTACTGTGGACATGCACAGTAGCCTATTAGCTGTAAACCATCTCTTTTTTATCCTGTTATTTTAAAAAAAATACATTTTAGAAAGCATATAGCAGAAATGTCTAGAGCTGGGCAAAATGTAACTCTTTAAATGCTGCATTAGGTTTTTAAGGCAGTATCTGGGCTCTAAATGAGGGTTGCCTTGTCCCAAGGCTTTAGCTCTTACAGCTCCTAACTGCTGGTTGCAGCTAGCTGTTAATTATTAATTGTTAATTGTAGTTGCTCGATGTATGCTTTTTTGAGATGTCTAAACCCACTTTCAGTGACTTAAAGCAATTTGTGTGTAAAGTGTCAGGCTTTGAGGCATCTTCTGTTTTCCGTTAGGGAATTTTTGCTCAGTGCTGTAAAAGTACAATTGGTTAAGATGGGTTCCCAAAGCTGGAAATGAAGATAATCAGGGTACTGTGAGCAACGTCACTTCTTCACACATCATTCAAGTTAGAATAACTGCTGTCATTTATATGCATTCAATTAATGTGCAGTGCTGCAGCAGTTATTACGCAGTTCATCAAGCGTGTGTAATTAGCTGAGCAACTTTCACTTCCTATCACCCAGACGCTGATTCACAAAGTCATAAATAAAGATGCAGATCCCCATCATTGTTCTCAGAGAGCATCTCTCATATGAGAGAGTATTAAAAAAAAAAAAAAATCAGAAAAATAGCAAAAGTCAAGGGAGGGAGAGCCCAGTAGCTGAGAAAGTCATGCTTTATTGTCCTGTGGGCCTGAAGGAGAATAAATAGAGTTACTTGAAATTCAGTAGGTACCTTTCCACATAGATTCATTGCAGACACAGCACCATAAAAAGCCTACCTTTTGCTGTTGACAAGTGCAGAGAGCTCCTGAATACCTTCAGCTGGGCAGCTGAGATATCTGTAGTAATGTGTGTTCTCTGAATAACTCTCACTCTACTCACCCCTGCACAACCTAGATTTATCCTGGGCTGGGATTGCCCCCACGGCCAGGGGCAAAAGGAGTTGCAGGACTAAGTTGCAGTAGAGTCACAGCAACTGAGTAGCAACCACAGCTGGGAAATAGCATCAGTTTTGTGTTAGAAAGAAGAAAGGCCCAACACTCTCTTTTGCTGGATTTTTAGGTTACAGTCATAGCATCACAGTGATGAAAATTATTGGAAGGAGAAAATCTGGAAATCAGAGGCAGACTTTTACACCATCTTTTTAATTCATAAAAGATATGTAAGATGAAAGTGACTGAAGCAGCAACCATATGCTATCCTTACATGTGGTTTGATTCCTTCTTACTACATGAAATAGATTGAATTAAATAAATAAATTAGTATTTATACTTAATTGTCAGCTGAGGGACATTAGAAAATTCAAATTTTTTAAGAACAGGGAGCAATCTGATTAAAATAGATGTAGAAATGAAAGGAGTTCTATCCATGAGTCATGCTAGAGATGGTAATGAGCATTATATCCATGACCTCCTGTTGGGATTTGGATGTGCCCACAGCAGAGTCTGCAGAATGATAGGCTGAAGCTGGGTGAAAAGAAATGAAACAATTCAGCATGTTTTTTGCAAAACAAAAAGGAGTCATGTATTCCAGTTACTTGACCTTCAATTTACTGATTCAAAAATAAAGAACATCTGGTTTTGTGTCTTCAGGTACATCAAAGTCAGAGACTGTTAATTCTGTTTTGGGTATGCAGAAACTCATGTTTGCAAGTGCTAGTTTTGGAAAATTGGTGCAAAGGCATCTGAGTAATTCTGTGTTACTTTTTGAGTCTTGTTTTTATAACTCAAATTTTAATAGACCCTGGTTATATTATAGGTTATACCATTTTAGTGATTGATACCAATTATATTGTCTATTCTCTGGCATTTCCTGAGTTTCCTGACAAACGTTGCAGCATTTCTGGGGATTACTTGAATAGTATTCTACTGTTTGGCATTTCAGACCTCTAAATCTACCTTATAGTCAAAACACAAATATTGTGCTTTTGATCCAGAATGTTTCCTTACCTCTTAGGAGGTCAAGTGCATCCTGCTTTAACTGCATATCTGTGGTGTTTTAATACTCAATAATAATTTCTTTCCACTGCAACAGTTTGCACCAGGAATCTCTTAATTTGATGAAAACTACATAAAGAAAATTTTGAAAGGATCACTTATATGACCACTAAAAGAACCCCCAGGTGCTGTGTGCTCTGCACTTGGGATGACAGTGTGCTCCTTCTTAAGAACCTGTACTAAAGTTTTCATGGTGCCTGAAGATGCCTCAATGTGAAAATGTGGAGGAGTAGGTGGTATATCCTCAATGTCATGGAGCCAGGCAGATGCAGTTTTGGATAAATTAGTATTTGTAGGAGATTTAGGTGTAGAATAAGGAAAGAAATCAGTTGATCCTTACTTTTATGTTTAGGAATTATCCATGGCTCAGAGACCGCCCAATATCTGTGACTTCCCCGCATGTGGATTCTGTTTCTTATTCTAGTCAGGGCAGTGAATAAATTTTAAATGCGAAGACTCATGATCTGAACTACCTCATTTGAGAGTGTAGGATTAGACAGCTCTATTAATATTTATGCCTCCTAATGGGCTACTTGATTTTCAGAGCAAAGCTCCCCACACCATACTTTCTGGGTTATGGCTGTGGTTACTATGGACGCACAGGAGCAAATGTACATACACACAAATATATTCATGGAACTGAAACACAAATCACACTGCTGTAATCTCATCCTGCTTTGATCTCCCTTTGTTTTCAATAGAGAATATGTTACATCAGTTCTGTTTTGTAAGAGGCTCTGATAACCTCAGGGCTTTTAAGCTTAGCAATGTGAAATATTCTTTAGAAGACTAAGCAGAAATTTCACCTGTTACCTTGTGTTTCTGTAGAGTGTTTGTTCCAGAACTCCATTTAACTACCCTAGAACTGTTTACTTATCATCAGATCTTGGAAAAGAGCAATTAATAGAACTTGTGCAGTTCCTGTGGACTCCCTTAAATGAAGATCTTTCTGTAAACCCAGTTCATCTCTGAAATGAACCAGAAAAGGACAAGCTGAGACCTTTAAAATGTGTATTTCCACTGGCAAAGGTTGTCAATTGATTATCAGTATTCCTTTTTTCTAAAGATGTCATTTACAAAATAATATCACAGTGATGGAAGAGTAGATGGTAAATTGTCAAAAATTGCTGATATATTCCTTTTTCTACGGCCATGTGAGTGAAAAATATGAAATCCAAGGTGAGTCTCCATCACTGTAGACAGAGCTCTGTCAAAATAAGTTATGTTGTCAGTAGACTAAAAACATGCCTTTGCAGACCATTGCCAGGGCTCTGGGTCTCTTGAGAATGACTTCCAAACTGACAAAATATTCATTTGTATGTGTTTTGGGGGACATCAACCCTTTAAAAGGGTTTATATCTTCATTAGGCCACTTTGAAAATGCCTAACAAATTATTTGCCTGTAGTATATTTGTGTCAGTAGTTGCCTGAACATATTTGAATTTTCACTCCCTTCCATGCTGAGTCCTGGCTGGAGAGCCCTCATCCTTACTCCCTGTGGTATCAGCAGGCCCAAGTGTAGTCCATAATCCCTAACTCCAGTGCTACCAAGACACCACAATTGTTCTATTTTTCTGTTCCTTTTTGAAGCCCTGTTTTTCATTCCTCCACCACCACTGCAGCATTTCCTATTATACTGGTAATACATGGAAGAAGATAATGAAGCAAACATTGTCTTGTACAGACCTTTTCATCCTTTCACAATCTAAAGCTGTTAGTGTCAGTTAGCAGCACTTTTCAAAGATGTGCAGTAGGTTTATGTCATATTTGAAATAAAATGCTTTAAACTCTGATGTACTTTCTCCAGCCCTCTTTCTGGGTGAGCCAGTGCTTGACAATAGAAGACTCTGCAGACTGTATTTTAAGACTCCAGTCATCTTAAATGCCATCAGCACTGGTCACAGTCCCCTGTTAATGCCTGGTTGTTGGGGCTCTGGGCTCTTGCTGA